GAGGCCCAGCTGAGCCTGCAGCTGCAGGTGGGCCGCCTGCTCACGGTACTTGAGCGACTCGAGGCTGTGCGAGAGGATGTGCCGCGCCAGCTTGCTCTGGTGGAGGAACGAGGCACCGCAGTACATGCACGCAAACATCCGCTCATCCACACCCATCAACTCCTGCAACCAAACAAACAAGAACATCAACTTCTTGTCTTCCCCTTTAGCTCGTCCGTAACACCCCCACAGTAATAATTGCTTCTCGCTCTCCCTTCCGCTTTCGCTTTCTTCCTCCTCTCTCTCTCTCTCTCTCTCTCTCTCTCTCTCTCTTTCACGCACAATTTCTCTCTCTTTTTCAGCCTTTATCTCTCTCTCTCTCTCTCTTGCTTTCTCCTCTTTTTCATCCATCTATCTAATTTCACTAAGTTATCTAATTTATCTATCTATGTTTATCTATCTATTTATCTATTCATCTATCTTATATTTGGCAAAAGTTTCCCGTCTCGTTTGCTTTGAAGTGATCGTTTCAAGCGGAAAACAGATTTCTCTCCGTCTTTCTCTTTCTCCGTCATCACTTGTGACGCATCGCGTGGATGCTATATGCACGTTCCCTCTACTTCGTCGCGACAAATCGCTCGTTTCGACGCTACTCGACTTGCAACGTGTACACAGATGCGTGTATATTATATATGCATATACGACGCGCAATCGCTGTAGATTCGCGTTTCTCGTTCGAAATACCGTGTCTTTCTCTCGCTCTCTCTTTCATTTCTTTTCTATTCTCTTGTTCTCTTTCTCTCATTCTTTCTTTCTCTCCTCTCTCTCTCTCTCTCTCTTTCTGTCTCTCGTTCTCGCTCTCTCTCGATTTTTCTCCGTCTCCGTTGCCTCTTGCGTGTTCTCTTTGCTCTCTTAATTTTTTTTCTCAACTATTCTCTGCTTTATGTTTTTCGCTATTCGCCACTAGACCGTTGGTTAAAATACAAAAAAAAAAAAAAAGAAAAGAAAAAGTAGAAAGAAAAAAAAATAAAAATAAAGAAAGAACAGGCAAGGCTTGTCTTCGCGAGACCACTACTTTTATAAAGAAGCACCGGATGTTACGCGTGTACGCAAGGTTCTCTCTGTCTTTCCTTCCTCCTCTGTATTATCTTCACGTCATGATCATTATCAACCCCTCTCTCGTTTCGGTTGGAAAAAAAAAAAGAAGTCCCTGAGGGCCTGACGAGAAAAATGACACCTTTCTCGACGGCATGTAAGACGGTAGCACAAGAAGTTGACGCTCATTTTTGTTTGGCACGACGGGCACCCCAGAGATAACATATATATATATATGTATATATATATATATATATATATATATGTATAATGGGCATAAGGAACTGTCTTATTTATGTGTGTGTAAAAAAAACAGCGTAAATGGAACGTGTTTTATATATACACACGTATATATCACGGATCGTTGTGTGACGTGTCTATATATGTATAGACGCGTATATGTGTCATGACATGATAACGAGTGACACATGTACGGGCCCACGGCAACCCCCAC